GAATGTGTTTGCTGATCAGCTAAGAAAGCTTACAGCATTGCAGGTTTTTATGGAAATATCAACCAACATTGTTGGTCATTTGTTTTTAATGTATGGTTTAGTGTTGGTTAAAGAGGACACATTACGCTCATTTTTCAGTATTTAGTGTCTCTACTGTGACATGTCTCGTTGCTTTAAAGTGTACCTATCATGCTATTTTAAGGCATATATTATGGGTCTCAGATATATAAAACATGTCAATGATGTGTTTTGCTCAAAATACAAACAGATCATGCATTTGTAGCCATGCCTCATACTGCTCAAACCCCTCTTTTGCAGCCCTGTTAGAGAAACGCGGATTTTGGGTCCTTAGCTTGAAAAAAAAGAGGAGGCGGAGCTAATGCCTGATCAGAAATCTACTGGAGATAAAGTTAAATTCTGCTGTGATAAAACGCCATCCTGTTCTAAACCACATCAAAGATTATTTCTGAAACAGTATGGAGCTCAAATGCTTTTTCTCTTGCAGGTTTATCACAAGGTGAGTTCCTTTTTTTATTTCCTGCTTTTTAAAACACATGTGCTCTACAGTACAGGTTAGCTCTGAGTATTAGCGAGGTTTGCTAATGTAAACAAAGACAAGATTACGTCCAAAACACGTCAGGCATTGTTTCTGATAGCAATTTTCTGTGGGTCCGCTGCCGATTTCACGTCAGATCGGTAGCAAATCTGTATCCGCTCGTTGTGCCCGTTTTAAAAAGATTTGGGTACGGAGGAAAAGAGAGAGGGTTTTATTTTCTGATGCTGCGTGAGTTCCCCGACGCACCGGGGACACATATTTATGTATAAAAGACATCAGAAAGTGCATTTTGCATGATAGGTCCCCTTTAAGTAGAGGGGGAAGCTGCTTCATGACCATAAAATCACAGAGCTGGAAACTTACTGCTGCTGATTGTGAAACCTGTGTCACTTAAATGTTGTCTTAAAAAGTCTTACTTTAAATATAGAGCCACAATAAAAACTAAATAGAATACAATATTACATTTCTAATAAAGAAAATCTACTTTTATCTCATGCTTTCACTTTTTAACTCGTTTTTTTCCAACCTATGTTCTCTAGTTCTGAACAATGACACATTTTTTTACGTGAGCGTATTTGTGGCACAAAATATGTGAGCCACAAAGCCGGTTTGTCAGTTAAACTAACGAAGCAACTGAAAAATTGCAGAAAATGTCTTCAAATGAAACACCAAAAAATAAACAAACTAAACAATTTATCAGTAACATCAGTGACAGTTATTAGCAAAGATGTCTCCAATAGGGTTAAGCATTGTGTTTTGATAATAGGTTAATAGGTATTTGCTTCTATAGGATCTTCAAGTAAGGTATAGGCTTATTTGTGTCTGAGTTAAATGTATTTGGAAAGAGGAATCCATGGAGTTGCGTATTAGAATTATTTGGTTATAAAGTGGAATTGTGTCATTGTCGAATCCATAGGGAATTATAGGGTGTGTTGGACTGGGTCAAATTGTTTGTGATGTGAATGTAATAAATCAGGTTCTTTTCCAGGATAGGACATGTAGGCAAGTCGAATAAGAATGTCCAACTCTTTGGTATTGTCTTGCAGTCTGAAAAGCATTCAAGGCACCGTAGTGTATGTTAAAATCCTAGTTATACTTTATCAAAAATGATTTTCACTTGGCCTAAAGAAATGTGAGTGCCTCATATGCTTGGCTGCCTCAGCACATTCAATTAATTAAGGAAAGCTTTCATTATTTTAATATGTGACATTTTGATAATGCCATGGTCTGTGTGGTGACGTTCGGCTGTACCCAGTTTTAAAAATGTTGTCAGCCACTAAATGATATTCTCTCTCGACACATAGGTCAAAGTCGAGTATTGTAACAATCATGTGAGCATTGGTTTAATGTGTCTGGGTGTATTTTACACACATTCCTTGTTTATCAGGCTTTTCCCCCCAACAACACAAATGCATCTATGCTTTTGTGTTGTCGGTGTGTTGTCATGCTGTTCTACTGTTAGTTACTGCTGCATTTGTTCAATTATCACAATATATTGTCACATATTGTGCATGTTGTGCCTGGCCGACGCCGTATTGCGTGGCGTCCGTGTGTTTAGACCACAACAGCTCCTCCTCGCTGTAGTAAACATGGCAGCCTGTCCCGAGACCACGCTCACGGACAGCACATGAGTAGGCAGAGGCGTGAGGGCCCGTGTGGCCGACCAATCAGCGGCTAGTAGAGCAATCACTGGCTGGAAAGCTCAGCCAATAGCGATCGACACTGCCGGGCCGTCAGCCAATAGAATGCGCGCAAAGCGTGGGCACGTGGATCTGGGCACATGTTGACGCTCGTAAACTGCCGAGAGAAAGAGCCAGCAAAGACACAAACCGAAGAGCTGCCGGCCGGGAGGTGTGTGTGCGTGTGTGAGAGAGAGAGGGATAGAGAGGGAGAGGGCTGAGGCTGGACGCCCCGATGCTGCTCCAGCTACGGAGTGTGTATTGACGGATCTGTTGTTTTAAAGCCGGAGATAGAGCTGTTTACTGTAGTTTTTGACAGCGGCTGTCTTATCTCACATTGCTGAAGGTGAGTAGCTCCTCGGACTTTATGTTTTTTTGTTTTACGGCTGAGTTGGTTGGCTAGCCTAAAGGAATTTCCTGCCCGGCTGTATCCTGTATGAGCTCCTGATACAATGTGTCAAAAATAGCCAAAAGCAGTTCATTCTCACGTGGATTTGTTCCATGCATTTCTTTAATAAAATATCATTACTATGTCATCAGGGCTTTAATGTTGCCAAAACATTATAATAAAACATCTCTTATATAACTGATACATTTGTTGGCATGTCATCCCGGTTTATTTCTGATATTTTATATGCTTCATAATAAATGTACGGAACATTTCGTATCATGATATTTTTGTTTATGTTGGTGGTGCGCAGACAGGCAGCCAACACCTGAGACGCAGCCTCATGGTTTGTACCTGTGCAGACTTTACACAGACAAATGCACCATCACTCCCACCACACACCCCTCTATACTCACAGCACCATACCATCCACGCTCACAACTAAAACACATAGGGCGTGGAACATTTTGAAATAAAACTGAAATGTAGCTTACTTCCACTATTTGTTTCAGTTGACTCGTGCAGATGCATGTAAACAACGTGACATTTGGTTTTAAGAGGAAGCAGGTGGCTTAAAAGGAAGCCAACCATCAGATGCAAATAAAACATGAACGACATTTTGTTGTAATCTTGTATAGAATTGTCTATACCTGATATTGGGACATTTTGTGGGTTAGTTAATGCACCTTTCATCGGATACAATCACAAACGTAAATATCTCTTAGTCCCCTTTGTCTTGGAGCGAGTTTAGTTATATTTCTCAAATTGATGAAAGCTGTGTTAGTGTGTATATTATTGTTTTTACATCTCTAATTTCCCCCTTTTATCTATGTTGGTGGGATGAAAGACCAGCAAGCACTCAGATTTTAGACAGACTGGAAAAAAGCGAAATATAGATGAGAGAGAGGGAGGCACATGGCCCGAGATACAGAATGTAAAATGTGAGTAGGAGAGGAAGAGGAGGAGGAGGGGGGAGCTAGCTTGGTCTGTGGAAGAGGAAAGGAAGAGGAGCACCAGGCTTGTGTGCATAACGAACAGGATGAGCTGAAGGGAGAGCAGAGATGAGAGGCATACAGAAATATACCCGTAGAGGAAGAGGTTTGTGTGTGAGTGTGAATCCAAGGGGGGATGGAGAGTAAGCCCGAGACAGAGAGGAGGGGCGAGAGAGGGAACCGGAGGCAGCGAGCGAGAGAGACTATTCTGATTTCACTACTCTACACCCCCATCCCCCTCACAGTTTACTCTGCTCTACAGTCTCCTATCTCCTCAATGGGAGCCAGACATGCACTACCATTGTGTGCCTACTGCCTACTCTCTGCACCATGTTTAAACTAGGGCACCAGGATACCCACCATTTTGGGTAATTATTTTTGGTAGCGAGATAGGGGAGAGTATAAAAAAGAGAAAGCCGTTCCTCCTATGATCTTGTTTCCGTGCCTTTTACTTCTTGTTGGTCTCCATGTGCCCTGCCCCTTTCTCTACTAACAACTTACTCAGTGTTCAGCTAAGCCTTTTTTGTGTCTTCTCTAAGCCTAATTGAGTGTTATGATAACCCTCTGCCCCAACAGCAATGCAGTCCCAGGGCAGCACTTCCTCTCAGCCCTCCATCGATTCCCTGAGCTCCGGTGACAGCCTCCTGTGCAGCGACTCGGAGCATGCCGAAGACGAAAGCGACGTCTTCCTGGCGACTGGCTCTCCTGTCATCATCGGTGGCGTGGGCGGGGCTAAGGCCAATGGAGACGGAGGGTCGGAGAGTCCCGGGTCCCAGTGGACGTGTGATGGCTCTACAGATAAAGAGGAAGAGGAGGAGTTGTACAAGTCGGAAAAAGGCGGCAAGGCAGCTCGCATCAGATTGGACCAGACAGATCCGTCAAAACAGAATCCAAAGTCACAGGGAGACCTGCTGTTTGCTCAAAAGGTAAGTGACTGATGAGAAGAGGGATGAGAGAACAATGTGTGCACAGGAAAGCCCGGTAGACTGATTCAGACAGCAAGGACTGACTCAAACCCAGGAGTAATCTATCTTCTCTTCTGCTTCCTCTGTGAGTGTGCTGAGCTACAGGGTTTTGTCAGGCCCCTGCTGGAGCTGCTGAATGGACTGAAGAGGGGTCGATTCGATCAAGGTAAGCATCCTTACATCACTGCTTTCAGTCAAGCATGTGTGCAGCCTGGAGCTAGGGTTGTAGATGCTGAACATGGGTTTATGTGATCTGAATGGCCTCAGACCATCCAATGGAGAGTGTTCTTTTGTACAGCATTCTGTATTGACCCAGCCTAATGATGTGGTCCAAAGTGCAGCGTGTGTGAAGCGACAGTCTTGTGGCTGACTCATCAGCTCACGAGAGTTTACTGATATTACAAGTGAAAGTGTATGTGATATACTGTGTGTCTTCACATGCATGCATTTTTTGCGACTATGGGGTCTTGCATTGCAAATACCTAATGTGGGATTATGTTTGTGATTGACAGGTTTAACTACTTTCCAGCAGAGCGTCGCTATGGATCGTATCCAGAGGATTGTGGGTGTTTTACAGAAACCCCACAGCGGGTAAGATGCTTTCCACTATGTCCCACTATCCAACCTCAGTGTTAAGAACTATCTGCTACTTATTGTAATCTTGCCTCTGCATCACTAGGCACCACATCAAAGTTGGATTGTAGCATGTTAATGATAATCAAATTAAAGTTATAACAAGAAGTTTACTGTGAGGTAGTCCTGCATTTCAGGCCTCATCCTGGTCAATGTTTTATTGAACAGTTATCGGGATGGGTAGAGTTACAGCATTCACTGGCAGTGCAGAGAAACACCAAACCTTTAGAAATAATGTATCTAGATGTATATGCAGGACTTTAAAAGACCAGATGTTTTCCTATGCTTTAACTCAATAGCATTGCCATCTGTTCCTCACTGTCGTCTTTTTTTTTTTTTTTTTACTTGTCCTGTGTTTTGTAGGGAGAAGTACCTGAACACTCTGCTCCAGGTTGAGGTGATGCTGAAGATTTGGTTTCCGCAGATCCACACTCAGCCTGTCTCCGCAGGCACCAGCGTCGTAGCGTCACCCGCTTGCTCCCATCAGGAAACTCCCCCCGTCACCCCGCCGCACAAGTACAGGGATCAGTCACACATTCCCGTCAAGGTGAGAACACACACATTCCTGGATGTGCAAGAGCCTACTTGTGCACACGCATAAACCTCCCTCTCTCACACCACCACAAATTAAATTATATATTCACTTGCAAACTACTTTCATGCTCATTTTTCAGAAGCGCAGACTCAGCTGGACGGGGACGGACTCCCCCACCCCTTCCCCGGTGCTTTTCAAGTGCTCTCGTATCAGTGTGGAAGAGAAGAAGGTGAATCAAGAGTGTGATGAAAGGAAGAGCCCTCTTTCTTCGTCATCGGCACCTGATGCAAACCCAGACTCACCAGTGGCGGACCAGCTAAATGGGGACACAAAGGGAAAGGACAGTGACAGAGAGGAACTAGGCAAACAATTAAAATACAAAGCAGGGCAAAACTCCGAGCCAAGCCTGACGTGGGTCCACGTTGCCCCCATCTTTTCCCCCCGGAACCCCTGCACTTCACATGAGGGCACAACAGTGGGAGGAAACAATGAAAACAAGCCCGTAAACGCCATCCTACTCCCGCCCAGGAGGAGGGGCCAACCAGCCACACAAGACAGATCCGTCACTTCTTCCTCCGTCGCCAAGCACCCCAAACATCTGAAGAAGCCGAGCCAGCCTGTCACTGGGCAACAGAGTGGGAGTGATACAGCTGAGATATGTCAGGGTCAAAGTGCGGCTCCTCAGGTCACGCTCACTCCTTCGCCCGAGGTGTGCCCCACCCCCTTAAAGACCTGAAGAAGATTTTCACACTACCGGGCTAAAAGCTGCCGTGTGAGGAAGAGGAGAAGAGGATGAAGATGATTATAGATGCATTAATGGGAGGAAGGGGAGGAAAGAATTATCGGTGATAAATGTTGATGTTTGATCATACATAACAACTCATCAAAACCTCCATTGAAACTAGTATCTCAAACAACAAGACAAAATGTGTTTATGAGGAGTCAGATCTAGTAGAGTTGATAATCACAACTACGTTATAATATTAACATTTGCACAAAAACAGTTGTGGTTGAGGCAGATAGGAAAGAACATCTAAAGCTAAACGGCTATTAGCAGCTTATTGAGTGATAATCTAAAGGAGAGATTTGAAGAATTTTAAGGAGCAGTTTCTCCTCAGCTTACAAGCAATCACTTTACTTAATGATGACTGGCAGACATCTTAACCGAGGCACACACTTTATCCAAAATGTTATGATGTCAATTTTCAGAATGAGAGCTTCCAAGGTTATTGTGATGAGGTAACTTTAATCCAGAGTGAGTGACACAGGGTGAGCTGAATCTAAGGCTAGTCACATTTGACGTTACATTCACTTGTAGATAGAGTTGAGTCATCCGGCTGGAAGAGGGATCGTGAGTTTTTGTCATTGCAAATCTTGTAGCTAGAGATTTGAAAAACACAATGTACAGAGCGCAGCGTTATACTGTACATGTGGTGGGTGAGAGTCTTTGGAAACTGGAAAAAATGACGTCATTGATTCATGAATGTAATCCTAGAAATGTCTGGGCATAGCATGGAGAGGTGTGTCATCACAACGATCAGATCTCAACTTTTCTTGTCAAGCTGTTGATCAGAAGTTTCTTCCCGGTCCTCGACTGCAAACTAACTCATGTCATAAAACTCCAAGAAAGACTTTTAAATACCAGCCAGAGGAAAAAACAAGGACCACTCAAAGACATGCGACTCTCGAGTCCCACAGTTAATTTATTCTGGTGTTGATCAGACGCTGCATTTAGTTATTGTTTGTGTTTATTTATTGGGCAGCTGATATCGCCTGCTGTGCTCATGCACAGGTTGGCTTACAATTGTATTGAGTGGATTGGGAAGATGCTGTTGAAAGTTGTTTTTTGCTATCATAACGAGAGAGAAAACTTGAAACGCTTTGATTGGACTATTGGACTACTGTGCCTTTTTACCAAATAGGATGTGTTCAGAAAAGCATTTGGTGCTTTCTCAGTGCATTCATACTGCATTTTGATTGTTTGCTTGTATTTCACAAAACCAGGACAAATTCAATCCTGAAAGCCAACATGTAGTCATTTTCATCTTGCTTCCAAATGTACACACAGCATCCAGACCTACAGTATCATCAACTATATTCAAAACCAGAGTCTAAAACTCCATCCACAGTTACATTAACTGCCTACATCTTCAACCTTTATACACACACTAACTGTGGTGTGCTGATATTTGTAGTATTATCAGGGGCGTCCCTCCCTACAGGAGCGTGGGGCCTCACCTCTCGGAGGGGGCCTCAACTGAGCCGCAAATGCGGTGCACCTAATATACGTTTATGCGGCGCAATTAGTGTGGCGCAGCACGGCTCCACTAGCACCCCCGTCCGTCGACGCTCGCGAAACAGAGGGCCATCATCTAACTTTGCGTGGGGCCTCAACTTGGCCAGGGACGGCCCTGAGTATTATTAAGCGGAGCCTTCCTTTGGTGCTTTTCTTTGGGTGCTCTTGATAAACTTGAACAAATACAGAGAAATTCTAAATGTAAGAGAGGAAATCTTTATTTGTACCACCCTCTACTGCTGCTATTGTTATTCGGATTCCAGTCCTAAGTTAGATGTTCGATAGGAGAAATCTGGAAATCTCTATCAATATTCTTCTCAAGTAGGAGGGGATTAAGCGATGTGATTGGATTTACCTATATTGCAAAAGTATTGTAAATATTTAGAAAAACATTTTTTAAATTGGTATGAGTGTGAATTGGAAATCTGTGTACCTTTTTCTTCCCTAAAAGTGAAGACGTGATCACAGAGCCACAGGCAGCCTCCATTTTCCTGCCAATGTTTGTGGAGTTAGGAGTGTACCCTCACAGACCCAGAGTCAGCGACTAACCCCATCCCGTCTGCAAACGTGACGGTACGATGAGCCAGACGCTGACTCTCGATCCGAGGCGGGGGGTGTCCCCCTCCCCACTCCTGTTTTTATACGGTTGTGGTATGACAGAGAAACCAATTGCACTTATTTTACATTGTTTGTGTCCTATTTTCATGTGTGTTTTCTACTGCAGCGACCACTGCTGATTGGCCAGAAATAATGTCTTATTTTAGCTGCCTTCGTTCTTCCTAAACTGTAAAAGCTGACCGTAGTTCCCTCCCCTCCCCTCCCCCACTCTGCTGCATTCGTCTGACCTTGCCCTCTCTCCTTCAACTCCCTCAATCCCGTTAGTATATTTTCTTTCTTAACTAAACCCTGTCTTTATCTCTTCCCATCTTTACATGCTATTACTCTTCTGGCTACTTTTTCAATAATGATAAACAGGAACAACTCTTTTAATAAATTACACATTTTGGAAATCTGAACTGTCTGTCATTTTGTGCCTGTTTTGTGAACTTTTATACATTTTATTTGTGTATTTTCTATTTGATGTATTATGTGAGTGAGACTCATATTTGGGAACTCAGCTCTCACTAAACAGATGTGTGGCACAGTGGGGAGGGCAGATTTACAGACTGTACATTTTGGAGTGAGGGAGGGCAGAGGAGTGATGAGGGGAAGGAGAGGGTAGTGAGAAGGAGGGGCGGCATGGTGTGAGACTACAGCCCCGGTAATCTGACTGGCACTAATGGGGGGGGTTCTGGCTGATCCTCCTACCAGCTGCTTCCCCCCGATGTAGTTTATATGTGTGTTGTTTATTCCATGATATCAATGAGTAAATACCTCCTGGTAGCAGAGAAGAGCCTGGCACGGTGGAGTCTGCGGTGCATTCCTGATGCAGTCTGATCCCCGGCCTGGTGTTTTTAGGCTTCTAAAATAAACCACAGGGTAAAAGTAAAAAATGAACCTCACCCATCACTCCCAAAAGTGCCCTGTGCTGCCATGACAGTCTGTAAAATCTCTGTGTTGCCAGGGATAGATTTTCTATAGAAACACAATATTATGTCTTTGAATGCTGCTGTTAACTCAAACACAAACTGGGTGCCAGTAAATGTAATATTGTGTAAAGCCCATTCATTTTTTCACTTAAATATACTATAGGTTATTGGTGAACATCAGTAAAGCTGTCAACACAACGCTGTGACTATTGGTGAAAATGTAATAATTCATGGGAAACTATTTTGACAATTAACTAATTGTTTCAGTTATTTAGTGAAGTAAACAATCAAATATTCTCTGGTTAAAGCTTCACGGATGAAGAATTTGCTGCTTTTTTCTCTTATTGATATATTTGTAAACTGCGTGACTGGGATTTGGATTATGGTCTGAAAAAACAACAATATGGACTAATTATCTGGCTTTTTATATAGCAAAACATTTATATTTTAAAATAGAAACTCTGGTTTCATATGTGTAATCACATAGTAAATATGATTCACATTCCTGAATTAAAGACAGGAGACATTCACCATGTTCTTTCCACCTCAGCATCACATCCATGGATACAGCATGCACATGGGCACGAGACTGGCACATTTTAGGAGGGTGTGGTTTGATTTCTCTCTGCTCATAGGGGATGAAGTCAGCCAAGCCGCATACACACTCATACACACATTTACACACTCATACACACATTTACACACTCATTTACACACTCACACACAAAAACATGCCCATAGCCAGAATCGTAAACACGCGATTGTGCCCCCTCACGCTCTGACACAGTGACTGGCTGATTTTGTGATGGGCCTGTCTCTGACACACTGACTGCTACGCTACAACAACAGAGAGTGCCCTCCCTCCCTCCCTCCACCCCCCTGCCTCCCTCCCTTCCAGCCCCCCCTTGTATCCATGCAGTTTTTAGCAGAGAAGCCCTTGCCCTCCATCTCCCCCCTCTACTACTTCTCTCTTCCTCCTTTGTAGGATGGAAATGAGGAGCAAGAGGAAAAGGACGGGGAGAGGATGAGTGTAGGGCACAGGGAGGAGACACGACCTCACTCCTTTTTGGGCAGCACGAAGGACATTTGTTGTTTTTCCCACTAAATAATAATCATAATTTTTAGAAGCTTGGCTCACTTGTTTTCACTGTTTTTAAATTTTGTTTGAAAACATATTTTATCTTCCTACTAAAAAACAAAAATTGATCATGCTGTGTTTGTCTATATTGCACCACCAGTATGCAGAGTAGACACCATCCATTGAATTTCTTTATTGAGTCATACATGTCTTTGGCTGTTTTCACTTCTGTGAGTATCCAGCCAGCATGTGTTGGATTAGCTGAGCGTGTGTGTGCGACTGTGCGTGCATCAATAGGATTGCACATAATGAACTTACTGCCCCTTTTATCCCTCGCTGTGTTGGTTTTGATTGTGGTTCCAAGTCCTCTTATTGGTTTTAACAACTTAATGATTTAGGGGTGTCTGTGGTGTTCCGCTGAATGTGAAATGTACGTTATGACGGGATTGACACAATGAGGTGCTTATTTACTTGTTTGGAGCTCCCCTCCTCCACATTAGACTCGCTGAACTCCAGTCAAACTCACGTGAGGGGAAGCCACGCTGTGACTTTACTACTACACAGTCGTGCACCAGCTAAGGCTCACACACTTGCTCTTACTCACCCAAAGTCCTGGGGGGTTTAAGTGCTGGCTAGTCCCAAAACCGCCCCGATGCTCATTAAAATGGCACAGTGGCCAGCCCTGGGATGGAAATCTGAGCTTCATGGAAGTCATATCTGCCTCGCTTGAGTTCACAGCGATCACAGGCCTTGATGTGTGGGGTTGAAGATGCTGCTCTGCCCCCTGTGGACCCCATCACTGTGAGGCGACATGATAAAAACAAGAGATAACTGGACAACATTCTCAAGGACGCACGTGTATCTCATGACATTTGGGGCACAGCAGAGCTACAGGCAAATAACATCCTCATCATTTTCTTTGCCCTGAATGTGTTCAAGGCAGCCTGCTCGTGATGACGCCATCTTACACGACTGCTCAATTATTCAAGTGCAGTGAGTGAAAGGGAAACACCAGATAGAATATACTGAGGAGAGAAAAAAAGATGCATAAAGTAGGAATATTTGGCAAATAAGTGAGAGATAAAAGCTTACACTCTTATGACTTGGGATTCAATGCAAGCACGTGCACTCACACTGATACTCACTCTGAGGTCCTTCTTCTCGGCCCATGTTTGAAGTAAAGACAGCTGATTCCCCTGAGATTATACCTTCCAAGATGATTTACAGACCCTGTCAGATACAATAAAATAAAACTGGGTCAGCATGATGAAATATACCATAACAACATTTGATGATTCAAAAACCTGTCTGATGAAACAGAAGGAATATCTTACTTAAAATATGCACTTGTGTAATATTCATAGTGTGGCAATAATGAACATCCAACTGACATACCATGTTGATTTTTCACATTTAGGATTAAATTGTTCACCATATAAAAAAGGGACAATGTGGCCATATGGGACTCGAAAAAAATGCAGGCTAAATGGCCTTCCAGTAATATATGAATATATTAAAATTATAATAGATTCATTCACACAGCTATCTCCACATGATACTGTAACACTTCAGTTGCACAAACAAATGGATAGCACTGCCTGTGTGTGTGTGTGTGTGTGTGCGTGTGTGTGTGTGTGTGTGTGTGTGTGTGTGTGTGTGTGTGTGTGTGTGTGTGTGTGTTTTGTTGTTGCTGTGTGTACTTATATAGAAATATCTGTGGCATTGTTATAATATGGGCTGAGGTGTTGTTACATAATACAGTTGGCTGGAGAGAGAGGGGCAGACAGTAGCTCAGTGTGTAAATGTGAGTAAAGGCGTTGTTTACTGGCCCGCTGACTGTTTGATCACAACCAGATTAAGGATTAACTATAGGTTCTTGTTGTTTTACAAAAATTAAGGTCATAATTGGAACGAGCATTTCCCAATTGAAAGACAAGCTCTATATACTAGGGTTGCAATTGCTGTCTCAAAGAGTACTGAAATTATAATCAATTTGATATTGATCAATATTGGTTCTGGTTTTTAATACATAAAGATTTGCTGTAATTCTAAATGTAACATCATTGTAAATTGCATGCAAGATAAAATTCAATCTGAAGACAATTAACTTATTACTCACATTATTAAGTATTACCACCAATTACTCGACTTGGGTAGAACCAACAATTCAAAGCCCCCCACAAATTAATGGTCATAGTAATAAAGAAAAGTAGCAATTAGTCACATTTGAGACGTTTTAATCAGTTTAGCTTAAAAAGATACACTTCATCAATGATCAAAATAATCGTTGATGAATCTCCTCTCTATTGACCTCCTATCTTCTTTGACCATAAAGTCTGATTCCCTATTTAGGTTTTTGTTGGCACACACAGCTGAAAGGTCACAGAGTTAACTGGGTCCAAAGTTGTGTTTCTATACACAGAGGGGCCTGTGGTGGTAGAAAGCTCATATTTCAGCATTGAGAAAAAGAGTTTCACAAATGTCCTCCTAGTTTTCTGTGAAACTTAAGTAGGGTTTCTTTTGGGCCACCATATATGATCTCATGTAGGAAATTGGCTGACCTCTTCAAACTGAGTAAAAGCTCAAACTGGTTATTCACAGAGGCTGGTGTAGCCTCAGGCGTACTGCAGTAGTGCTCAAACTACTACCAATGCACTCAGTTGACCTACATCATGCAAAGATAGAAAAAATGAGGGGGTGGGCCTACAGAGTAAGAAAAACAGAGATCACCTGATAGTGGGATAATGTTTTTAAAAGGGTGTTTCCATGACTAGTCTGTGATTAGTTTGGCTACAGCTAGGTAATGTTTCACTATATTGGACTGATAAAAAGGAGATTATGGATATGTTTTATTTTATTGTAAACAAAGACTCGAATCATAACCTTAGTGGAGGCAGTTGGAAATGTGAAGTAGCCTACTCAAACCCATATTGTGGACTGTTTGCTTTAGTTTATCCTGTATTTTCCAGTTAATAGGCTATGAAATGCATTTAATCAACTTTGTGAAACAAACCAAATTACAACTCTGACAACCTTTGCATTACAATTATAATTAGACCTGGTTAATAGTTGCAACCAATAATAGTTATTACAAATGATTAATTATACTAAAATATCATACAAATATTAACTTTGAGTTATAGTAAGTACTGAGTTTTTTTTTGTTGTAATGCTAAGGTGTGTAGGCTACATGTGTTGCGGATATAGTTACCAGCTGAAGTGGTAAAAGTTAACTATGGTCTGTGGTTTAAAACAAACTTATGAGCTGATTCTAGTTTCCCCTTTCCCTATAGTTAACTTGCTAGCTAGCCAACTCACATTACATTACATGTCATTTGTTAGACGCTTTTATCCAAAGCGACTTACATACATAATACATTCAGTACTGTGGACAATCCCCACAGGAGCAATTTGGGGTGAAGTGTCTTGCCCAGGGACAAAACGACATGCTGACTGTAGTGGGACTCGAACTTGCCATATGGGACATTTCAACCTGGTTGTATTTGACAAATGAATGGATGAAGATCTCTGTCAATCCTACTAATACAAACATGTAACTATTTTGGGTAAATTAAACTTTTAAAAGATAGATGACTTTACTAAACACTGATTTTTCACCACATTCCTACCTTGATACTTTCCTCCATGTGCAGCTAGGTGGAAACGACGAACATTTGACCGAGAAGACTACGCAGAAATGGTCACGAAGAAATAACATTCTCCATTTCCGGTTCCGGGTCTTGAAACAGTAACGTCGTGTGAACGGCGCGACCAAACAGAAACTTTTACAGAAAACTTAAGCATTTTTGAGTTATTTACGCTACCGAAACCGGCTTGTTTCTATTTAAAGTATACAACGTAAACCCGATAGAGGATAAAGGCAAACTCGAAAGGTTTGTAACTCTTTATTTAGCAGTTATTTGCTGATTGTTAGTGGTTCGCAGACAGCACTATGCTAACATGAATTAGCATTTAACGTTAGCCGAGAAGTTGTGGCGGTTGTGATTGATTTATGTTGATTGTGTTGCTCATGTTTGCACATTTTCAGCCAGTCGACTCACAAACTACTGCATGCTTTAGACTGTTTGTGTGTATACATTCATATCATTATTGGATTGGATGTTTGTAAGTGGATGAGTGAGAGCGGATGTATGGTGTCCAGGGCATGCGTGTTCTGATATACCTACATTGTTTATGATTGGTCAAGACTATATTTTACACTGCAAAAGAACTAAGGGAGATGTTTCAACTCCAGTTTGAATGGCAAAACACTGTTCAACCACTGTGGAGATTTAAATGTCAAAATTCAAGAAAGCTGTCTTGCATGCACATTTTATTGTAGCATAGTCTACAGCGGTAAGCTGTAAACTGTAACTAGTGTTGAACAGTCAAAATTACATTCCTGACAACCATAAACCGTTTGAAAGATCTCCTTGATGCGTCATATTAAATGTATACTGATCAGGACTCTTGGAGTAGACACATGTTGCTGTTTTTATTATTATGTAGCCCTGTTAAGGACTGCATTAATACTCAAAGAGGGTTAGAGTTCACAGAGAAATAGGCTGATTTATTTTGTTGATCAGCATTAACAAACAATTGTTATATATCATAAATGTTGCAATGTTTTGTAGGATTGGAAGATGTCTCTTCCCAAGCGGGAGGTGGAGGAGCTGAGGCCATGGGTGGAGCGGACTGTGAAGAAGGTGCTTGGTTTCTCAGAGCCCACAGTGGTTACTGCTGCTTTGCACTGTGTTGGAAAGGGACTCGACAAACGAAAGACCATAGGTAACTGTATTGACCTTTTTCATTCCTAATGTGTTTTATCCAGATACTTGAAGATGTAATCAATATAGAATTATGACTTGTTTCCTTTTACACTTAACTACAAAGGTTAACATAATTAAGACAATGATCTCAGGACTCCTACATTTGTGCACATTTGTTGACTCTCATTCCAACCTCAGACCAGCTGCGCCCCTTCCTTGATGACTCGGCCGGAGGGTTTGTGGAGCGTCTTTTTGAAGCTTTGGAGGAAAGCCGCAGTGCACGGGGCCACAAAGGATCAGGAGAAAAACACCGCAAGAGAGACCTCAAGGTAAGCAATACATTTCCCTTGAATTAGCTAAATCTGCATAATCCCAAAATACAAAATTGGATTCATAGAAATAGAAAAATGACAGTCACCACGTGATTTATATGAGCTGTTATGAAAGTGAGAACATCTGAGAAAGTCTGTACACATGCATAGTTTGATTCCTCTCAAAACTCTGTGTGTAGATTATTGACAAAAACATAATCATATTTGATAAATATATATTTAATCATATAAGAAGACATAGTGTATCAACAATGTGGTTTAATGATGACATTGTTGTTTCTCATTTGGCTGGTTGGTCTCAGGATGTATTTGGTGATGAATCTGAGCCGGTTGCAGTGCGAGAAACTCCAGAGATAGTAGATGTGCCAGCCCCAAAGAGGAAACGCGTCCCCCGCTTCGAGGAGGTGGAGGAGCCCGAGGTCATTCCTGCACCTCCAGTCGAGAGCCCGGGCATGCTCACCAAGATGCAGGTATAAGATTATCTTCTTATGACTGTTAGGATTATACCTGAAAAAGTTGTTTTTATTCAATTTGAATAATTCTTTCATCTACTAACCTTTTCTCTGTACTGTTAGATTAAACAGATGATGGAAGCAGCCACAAAACAGATTGAGGAGAGGAAGAAACAGCTGAGCTTTACCTCTCCAGTCCCAGCTGCACATGTAAATAAAATGTTCCTTGTTTACTTGAAGACTTAAAAACAAGTATCAGTAATTTCCGACAATGTTTGACATTGTTGTGATTTCTCATTGATTTGAGTGGTTTTCCCTTGTCACACCATTGTAGCAGATGGAAATCCCTCCAGTCTCTCGGCTTCTCGGCAACTCTGCTTCTGCAGCTGGAGGCGGGGGCTCGTCCATCGCCCCCTCCCAGGCTGCCAGCTTCATGAATGACGCCATCGAGAAGGCCCGCAAGGCTGCGGAGCTCCAGGCCCGCATCCAGTCCCAGTTGGCCATGAAACCTGGCATCCTCGGGGCCCTGGGTAACACTGGCCCTCACAACATGGTGGCACTAGCTAATCTTCATGCCATGGGAATTGCCCCACCGTGAGTAATGGGACAGTATTTGGGTTTTTAAATTCTACTTTTGAAAATAAAAAACATTTGTTAATGTGACACTGTAAAATAGATTGCTTTCTCTGTTTGTCTCTTTTATAGAAAAGTAGAAATCAAGGAGATAAACAAGCCAACACCTCTTATTCTTGACGACCTGGGAAGAACTGTGGATGCTAGTGGCAAAGAGATTGAACTCACACACCGCATGCCTACTTTGAAAGGTAAGTTCAACCTTGTCTAATACCTGTGCACACACACAATCTTTATTTCTTGATTTCATGTTCTTCAATGCATTTTCCTCTGCTGTGTAGCAAACATTCGAGCTGTAAAGAGGGAGCAGTTCCGTCAGCAGCTGAAGGAGAAGCCTGGGGAGGATTTGGAGTCAACGTCCTATTTCGACCAGCGTGTCAATATTACACCAGCTATTCGTGCTCGAAGGGGCTTCAAATTCCATGACCAGGGGCGCTTCGAGAAGATTGCTCAGAGAATAAGAACTAAGGTCGGTCTTAACTCCAAAACACTCGCATATCAGCCGTGTTCTCGTTTTTTTTTGTAAAGGACATACAATAAAAAAAATGTTTGTCCCTCTTTGCACTGACCTCACCAGGCCCAGTTGGAAAGGTTGCAGAATGAGATTGCCCAGGCAGCAAAGAAGACAGGAATCCAGGCATCCACCAAGCTGGCACTAATCGCCCCCAGGAAAGACATGGGAATCGGAGAGGTGCCCAACATCGAGTGGTGGGACTCCTACATCACGCCCAACAACGTAGACATGTAAGAAACTGCAGCTATCCTAAGAACTTGTCAGTTTGTAAGGTTAAATGTTACTGCTGTGTTTTCTCATTCAAGTTGTACCTTCAATCTACTGCAGTTAACTGACATGATTTCCCCCCTTATCTTATTAAGATCATCCGACACAGCATTTGAAGAGATGGAGCTCTTCGGTGTGACCAATCTTGTAGAGCATCCTGCCCAAATTAACTCTCCAGGTGAGTGTATGAAAGGTGAAAATAAGGCAGTTGAATGTGCTATCAACCAATGCTGTCCCATCATGGGGTGGTAGTTCACTCTAAGGCAGTGGTTCTCAACTGGTGGGTCGAGGACCCGTTTCGAGTGGGTCGCAGATGTGAGTGAAGAAAAATAAATAATTTTTTTGTTTGTGGAAAAAAGTCTAACTTTTATTTTGAATGCCCAATTTTCTAACGCTGTTCATGCAGTAGGCGTTGGACTGGAAGTACCGGAGACCATCAACGGTTTTTATGTTTTTTTTAGTCTTCTGGCCAATCAGAATCAAGATTGTTGCCGGAAGTCCCCACGGAGAATAACTTTGCGGTAGAACTATTCTTTATACATCCATGGGTACAACTTCAGATAAAAATGAACACATAATGAGATATGACCCCCGGTTTGATGACTGACAGGTCACAGAACAATGGGAGCTATCTACCCTTACCCACAATTTAAAGTAATTCACACAGACTCTTCTCTCTGTGTGGAGCAGTAGGTTTCAGCCGTCAGAACAAAGTGAAAAACAAACAATGGCATAACATATTATTAATATGTCGGGTAGTAATAGATTTATTTATTTTCTTCTCAGAGTGTACCAGAATGCCTAGTTTATATGTTAGTATTTCTAAAAACCTCCTGGGGGAGAATAGACCCCAGACCCCCTTCCTGGGGATGGGTTTTCCAGCATGTGTGCCATAGGTTTTCAGCATGTGTGCTTTTTATGTTATACAGTTCGGCTTTGATTCCATCATCTCATTGAACCTTATTTAAAAGCATTATTTTGTTCTGTGAAGGGATATAAGGGATATATGCACTGTACTTCACTTTAATTAACATTGTATGCTGAAAAGCGTATAAATTACAGCACGATTTTTTGTTGAATAGATTTGAGTGGTTAAAAATGTCGGGTCGTGATTTATTGACAAAGGAAAAAGTGGGTCCCGTGGCCTGACTAGTTGAGAACCACTGCTCTAAGCGATAACAAATTGTTTCAGACTACATACAAAAAAATGTAAAAAAGTATACAATTGATGTCGCTCAGTAATGTGTTTGTTTGTTTGTGTGATACCTTTTGAGTCTCTAATATTTGATTGAACATTATACACCTTTACCCTGACTGGAAGCAAATACAACTCCTTTAAACTAAATATTTATTTCAATTGTTAGAATATATAAATGTCTTTAAAAAACATTTTGTCCCTCAGTTGATACAGATAAGTCGGTAACGTTGGGAGTTTACCTCACAAAGAAAGAACAGAAGAAACTGAGAAGACAGACACGAAGGGAGGGACAAAAAGAAGTTCAAGAGAAGGTTCGTCTGGGGCTGATGCCTCCACCAGAACCAAAAGGTACCCACACACAGATTACTGTTATAAAAAAGGTTTGATAATTAATACTCTCCAGAATGTAACTGATGTTTTCCTTTATTTCACTAGTGCGCATCTCCAACCTGATGAGAGTGCTGGGGATGGAGGCAGTCCAGGATCCAACAAAGGTTGAAGCCCACGTCAGAGCGCAGATGGCCAAGAGACAGAAGTGAGTTGATATGTTTACCTCCACACAGCTTCACTCTCTCCTCATTTCCCCAAGAATCCATTGTAACATTGTGTGATCAAAACAGTACCTTTTCTTGGAGGTTTTCGAATATTTTCCTCCTCTTTGCAGGGCTCACGAGGATGCCAACGCAGCCCGAAAGCTCACATCAGAGCAGAGGAAAGAGAAGACGGTCAAGAGGTTAAAAGAAGACCTCACTGACGGTGTTCACATTGCAGTGTACAGGTGCGCATCAGCAGCAACAGACCAAATACTGTTTTTAGTACATTGTGCGATTTGTGTTGCAGAATAGAAGTTTGTCTAATTCAGATGTATTGCCTTCCCTGTACAGGATCCGTTACCTGCAAAATCCTGCCAAGAAGTTTAAAGTGGAGGCCAACGCCAACCAGCTGTACCTGACGGGCACAGTGGTTCTGCACAGAGACGTCAATCTGGTCGTGGTGGAAGGAGGTGAGGCAACTCAGACCTGTCAATGCAAATAAATAAATAGCCCCCTTTTAAAAAATCTAATTTTTCACAAGTAAGGTTGTCTTTTTCCTCAGATTTTACGCCGTATTTATCCATTAAAATGTTGGAATGTTTTTATTTTTCTGTTTATAATTGTCCCAAAGCTTTTTATTGTTTAGTCTTGCATTTGGTTTGCATTTCTCTCTTACCTCTAGAGACATGAAAGAAGAGTTGGAAGATTTGAAAAAAAGCATTTGATTATTTTGACTTAAATACAATTCTTAGGATTCACGACATTTGAGTGAATAATCAGTTCATCAGAAGTATTTTCAATTTCATTAGGAAGCGTATTGAAGTTATCATTGCATTTCGCAAGGATCTGTACTAAACAAATGTTTCTCTCTCCTCTTAAGGCCCTAAATCCCAGAAAAAGTTCAAGAGGCTGATGATGCACAGAATCAAATGGGTGGAGCACAACAGTAAAAGAGAAGGTAAGAGTAGCTTGACTTAATGTTGTGTGCTAGTTGTTGTGCCTTTGTTTTTGTTTTTTTAAGGAAAACTAAACTCTTTACAACTGTTTCTCCATTAGGACTTGATGGTGATGATGATGCAAAAAGAAACAACAAGTGCTGGTTGATTTGGGAAGTAAGTGTTCACAAAATCTTATACAATTAATTATAGATCTTTTTTTGATTGTATTCAATTCTAATGGTTCATCTTGGATCTCCAGGGCACAGCTAAAGAGCGCAACTTTAAGGGGGAGATGAAGTTCAAGCAGTGCCCGACAGAGAACATGGCCAGAGAACACTTCAAGAAACACGGCACAGAACAGTACTGGGATCTCGCTCTCAGCCAGAGTGTGTTGGACGGCACAGACGACTGAAACCTCCATAACTAAACCTGAACCTTCTACAAGTCCCCGGACCCCCGGCCTCACAGCCGGTCAGCCCTCACTGCTGACCGGCTGCCTTCAAATGAGGACATACAGACTTAATCAAGAGACGTGAACATAGCAAAAGGCGGAACAATAAACCTGTGTGGATGTGTCTGCAAGAATGTGTGACAGATGAGTGAGTGTGTTTATGCCGGCGTCGGTGTTCATCTCTTTGTTGGTAGGCTATTCTGTCAGCTATTGTGATGTCTGTTATTGAATACAATCTGACAGATTGCACTGTGTGATGTTAATCACTTACCCAAGGCTTTTTTGTGATGATGAGCAATGTTGTCAGATTATGTTTTGACTTTTGTGATGAAGTCCCCCTGAAAATATTCCTTATTTGAGTCAAAGCATTTACTACAAACCTCTCCATTAATGAATTACAATACTGCTATTGCAATAACACATGTAGAGTAAACCAATGCAACTAGATGTTAAACCTGGAAGGAGTCATGGGTAATGTAACTACATTGTCATACAAGTACAACCTATTGAGTCATTACAGGTACATTTCACAGAATGTAAAGTTAATAAATCCCTACTTTTTTTTTTTTTAATGTTTTTGAGAAACAAACAAATGTTTGACTCACCTGTAGCTTCTTTTCTCTAACGTTACAGTCACAGCCTTGAATAAACAACGATCAACCGACTCCTGCCTCTTCTTTCCGCTAGTTTGAATCAAGCCAATCATATTTAAGTTTTATAATTATCAAGTTATATTCGGTACATACCTCATTAACAAAGCCCACTGCCACCTATCCTCAGCCACCCCATATACACTATGCATTGTATTAATGCACACTATGCGAACTACATCTCGTTTTTATTTATTTCTTTTAAGTACGTCAGTCCCTCACAACCTTCTGAATAATGTGTACATGCAAAGCAAGCTCTTTTAATGTCTGCAAAGCTCTCCACTTTTCGTAGCAGTAATGCTGCACATATTTTATTTCAGTATTCCTAGTATTTTATCATATAACAATAGTCGTTTTGATTTATTTTTGAATATTATTTTTTGTTGTTCTTTTTTCTTCCAGTTTATCTTTAACTAACTTTGTTTGATGTATGCCCCATAGGCCTATACACCAAGGCAAATTCCTCGTATGTGTAAACCTACTTGGTGATAAACCTGTGTCTGATTGTGATTTATAAATGCAGTCAGCAATGCGTTTAAAATAAAGTGCAACATGGGGGCGTGTTGTTTTCCCCCTCCTGCTCCCGTTAGCTTCTTCATGCGCAGCACCACAGCAGACAGACTGAAAGATGGCGGCTGGTTCTGGGGCTGCTGGAGCCCGCAGCTCCAACGCTGGTCTGGAAGGGTCTTTGGACCGACGGTTTCAAGGAGTTTCCAACACTATGGAGTCAATACAAGGACTTTCAAACTGGTGCATTGAAAACAAAAAGCACCACAGCCTGGTCGTTCGCTACTGGATGAAGTGGCTCAAGAAATGTGAGTAGCTGAGCCTAAATCCGCTAGCTTAGCTCACTTAAGCTAATTCAAATGCATTTCTGACTTGACCCTGATCAGCTTGCCAAATCCAGCTACTGGTGATAGCTTTGCGAGAAGTGCAATACACTGCTTTATAGATGCATTCAGTTTTAAAACGTCTAATCGATGTTTTCAATAAAGACATGCGCTGCAATCGTGGCTTAAAAATAGTCAGTAATGTTAGCTAAGCTAATGCTAACCATGGTCTCACTAATGGCACTGTTTACAGTTAGGCCTCCCGGGGTTCATGCTCTGTTTTTTTCAAGAATAATTGGCATGCACCACACTGCTTATCTCAAAGGACTGATTCTGGAGATAAATGTTTTAGAAGGTGTTTAGTTAGATTGTATTACCAGTTTTAGTCGGGGTGGTATAGTTTAAGATGTGTGCAGGTTCAGTAATGGTCGTCTAACATGCATGATTGTTGAAGCGACCAAGTGGCTGATAGTTTAAGTAAACATTTTAAAAGTGTGAAGGGAAAGGGCACTCTTAGTGAAATATGCATTTAAGCAGTAGACGATTAACCTAAGATTCCAGGAGCTAAAAACGATGTCGCGTTGTAATTTAAAGTAGTGATACACTTGACAGCAGTACCATTTCATATTTTTTCAAACTTTTCCAACGTATTGTTACATTGGTTTCTTACCTACTGATAGTGTTTGAATGTAACTACGTACAATTACTCAAGTGTTTTACTTAGGTAGAGTTTTGAAGATTTGGTTGAATACTGCATTGTATCTTTCACCAAATATTGGAAGGCAATACTTTATATTTTACTCCATAGAATTTCTTTTTCAACATTAGTTCATAACAACTTTGCAAATGTTAGATGAATACAACATACGAGTACATTAAGAAGTATCATGATAGATTAACCCTGCACTAACAGCACTTTTTAATTTTTATTTAAATAGGCTATTTTGATGCTAATACTTTACTACAGGGAATTTCTTTAAGTGCATTCTTCTATTTGTGGCACAGTCTTTTGTTGTTGTTGTGTTATGCCACTGCCTGCTGAATATACTTAGAATATCAAACTGTTTTTAGTTATAGGTTTATCAGGATAGGTTTTTACTAACCACCATTTTGACCTGGTGTTTGAGTGCATAAAGTAATCGATAAGGACAAATAACTGTCATTTTGAAAGCCCCCAAAGTTGCCATTGTCTAAAATGGGGTCTTTATAAGAGTTAATTAAATGTACTACATTTGTAAAGCCACTGAACTGCTGTCATGTATTTAGCTTGTGCCTCTAAACAGATTATAGTATAATCCATTTATCGCTTGTTTTGTGAAATCACAGGTAGTATCTGTTGCTTTGGTATTCTTAAGTACTGAATAGTATTTCTGTTGTTGCGATTAGGATTTATTATACAATCTTATTACTTCTAATTTCAGTATGTATTCAGTCATCTTATAGCAAGTGTAGAGAAATGTGCATGGCTTCCAACCTTACACCAGTTTTATAATATCACAAAAATAGTTTACAATTTTCTAGAGAATTATTTTGATACTGGTTTTTGCTGATTGTGGCCAGAACAACAAATGTTTCGCTCTAACCGTTGATTTTGGTAAATGCAGGACTTACTGAAGGTTGTATCTGCTTTATTTAAGCATTATTTATAATGTCTCGATAGTGAGACATTTGAAGCATTTTCTTATGAAATGTCGCAAAACTTGGTCTGTTGGTTTTTCCTCTTAATAATTGTCAGACTAGGACCTACTGAAACCGAAGAATCTTTTTTTTATTTAGTCATCACTTGCAGGTTTTTCAAAAGTTAAGGTTCTCATCTGATTTTGGAAAGAAATTCTAGTAGGAACGTTATATAATTTGGAGAATTTATCATAGCTGTAAGGCTATACACCTTGGTTACCTTAATACACATTGTGTTTGAAGCAGGATTTAAAAAAATATTTATTGGAATGCATTGCTTTTGTTTCATGATGCAGATTTGTTGTTTTTGTATGTATTGAAGCAAAGACATTGATCATAACCTCTTACAGAAACATTTCCATATATGCCAGTCACCATTGTTCATACAGCTGAATTCTTGAGAATGGAAGAGTTGATTGGAAAATAGTGTAAGATGAAGGACAGAAATGACTAAAAACTTTGACCGTTAAAGGGGGAATCCACACATTATTACTTTAATTGTATTAAAGTTGAAGTTGATTGCATATGTTGGCTGCAGGAACAACATCAGAACATTTTTTTTTTCTATTATTGTACCCTGCATATCTTTTATAGGCTTCAGTCCTAACATTTAGGGATATTAATTATAAATTATCCATAGTTTCAAGTTAAACCGCCAGTGCCTGTCGAATCATCATGTGGATTTTCTTATCAGTGCACATCGCTGCCTGCAGAGCACAGCATGATGAAAGCTGACGGCACACAGGGAATGACTACTCGGCTCTGCTGAGCTGTTGTTTCTCAGGGAGAGCGCTGCCAACCAACCCAGAGTCAATCTTTCTGGCTGTACGCTAGGACATGTTTTCATTCGAGCTAAAAGAATAACGCTATAAAGTAGGTTCATTTTGAGTAAAGACAATCTATGCTAATCTCATATTTATTTTTGTTTAACAGCAGCAACATTAGTTTGCATTAATTTTAGTAAGATATGTCATATTTTACTGTTTGAGAATAGTTATGGTGCATATTTAAAAAGAGACCTAAAAGCTCTTCTTTGATATAAAAAGCTGTGCAAATCAATCAATCAATCAATCAATCAATGTTTATTTATATAGCCCAATATCACAAATGTTACATTTGTCTCAGTGGACTTCACAGTTTGTACAGAATATCAGTATGACAATACGACGCCCTCTGTCCTTAGACCCTCACATCGTACAAGGACAAACCCCACAGTTTGCAGATGTACAGTATGGGAGAGTGACAGAAATGAAATGCTTGCAGTCACTTTAAGCACCACTGTGTGTCAAACATAATGTTTACATTGTCTTCGTAGCATAGGTTGTGTTTTTTAAACTCAAGTCTAAATCGTATTTATCGGTATCAGATCTTGTCAAATAGAAGTGCTTATTTCATTGGATTGTTTAGAAATGTAAAATCTTTTTTTCTGTGCTAATCGGAGATAATGAGATGCAACCTTGTATGTATCCAGTCTATGGGTGCAATCATTTGTTGATCAACGAAAATATTATATTCAATCCTATTATTATGTTAAAGGTCCCATGTCATGCTTTTCCGGTTATTACCCGTCCCCTTGTGTGTTATGTAGCTTTTTCTGCATGTAAACGGTCTGCAGAGTCTCAAACCCTCAAAGTACACCCTGTAGCGAGTAAAACTCTAGTGAATACACATACTATACAGAGATGCTGTATGAGAAACCAATGTGAGTTTGGAAAATTGCACAATATAAATCTATTTTAGTTTACCTCAACAATGGAATTATGATCAGTAGAAATGGCCATGACATGGGACCTTTTTTCATTTGGGTTTATGAACTGAAAAAAATACATTTTAAAGGCAAATTGTGACCTTGGACATTTTATAAATTCAAACTACCGGTATTTAATCTAGAAAATAGCTTACTGATAATCAATCATTCCAATGACTGAAAGTTGCAGCCCTATGTATAACATTTACTGATAGTTATACAAGTTGTTATTATATTCTCTAAAAAAAATAGTTTTTTGTCAAAAGGGATAATTTTAAAAAAAAAAGCAATTTTGTATATCTTAGACATTATTGGGCAAAAGCTATATTTAGGTAACTAACCTTTTTATTATATTATTCATCAAAGAAAATAAACAACACAATATTATCTCACAGTCTTACTTTGTTTTTTATATATATATATATACAAAAAAACCCTCTTTAAGTTTCTGCTCCAAAAGGCTTTGGCATTACATTTTTATCTCATCTAATAACGATGAGAAAAACCAATTTTAGGTTTTTTCCAGCACGTTTGCTTCAGCAGCAAAATAATCTTTTAACTATTGGCACATACTCTTTTTGTAATGAATTATACTTTTAATGTCGGAATCTTAAGAGGTTAAAGTTGATGCCGTCCATGGCTAACTCAAGACACTTTTCATTGTTTGGATGTTTTCCATGGTGGCTTTTATGTAATTCATAAGTTTGTGAATTTTACACACTGTTTCAGAGTTGAATGTGTTTTGAGGATCTTACCACGTGTTTATCAGAGCTGTCTCCCTTTTCAAGTGATGAATGCAGTGTGTTGGGATCTGTATGTGCATGAGTGTGTGTTGACTTTGACATGTTGTTCAAAGGTGCATTAATATTGAAGTGGCACATGCAACCCCCTTGAATTAGTTATGGCATTAATGGGATTTCCTTTAGTCTAAAATTAAATAAATCAAAACCAACACATGTATTACTGATATTTTGTGATTTTAAAGAAACCTCTTTTTAGAAATTTGTATTTGTTAAATAAATGTACGAATTAGTGTTAAAACTAATATCACAGTAAAATAGAGGGTAAACGATATTATTGTGCTTAGTTTGAAGAGCATATTTGCCTTTTTTCAGTATATTTTGATATGATATATTTAATTACATTAACTTCCCTAGATAACCATTTATCTTTTAGACTAAATGAGAAGCTAATCAGAAAGATTTAGACCTTTTTTATAGTTGTTGCTCCAAAGCCGTTAATAGCAGAACTATAAAAAGCAGTGGAAATCATTGTATCCTTGCCAGTGTTGTATTTCTTTAAGAAATGGAAACATATAACTGATATTAATACTAAAGTAAGACTGTAAGAAACACGTTTCTGGGTGAATGAATAATCGTACAAAAACAGGCCCACTCTTTTGCCTTCAGTTTTTCTGTGTTATTATTATTCACTGAGACTAGTTTAATTTATGAGAGTACTTGAAGGTAGGGCTGAACGATTAATCGATTTTAAATCGAAATCGCGATTTTAAATGATGCGATTATCAAATCGCAAAGCCTGCAATTTTTTTTAACCTATTTTTTTTTGTTACATATTTATTTTGTTCTTCTTGTGTGTCAGTCATCCACACCAATCAGAAGTGCTGTGCTCCACATGTACCAGCCATTGTTAACCAATCAGAAGTGGCCCATGATAGGAGGTGATAGACAGATTGACCCAATCACCTGCCAAGTATTTTTGAAAGTGCCTCGTCCCTTTACCAAATGGCTTCCAATGGAGTCTTCCTAGATGGTTTGGTGAAACAAACCATCTGAATCCTCACATAAAAACATGTTTTACATACATCTATTACAGGGTGAATATAACTGAAGCTTTGACTTTAACACCCCAACGAAGTTTCATGTAAGTTTAGTCTTTTCACTCATAGCTCAGGCTGCGGGTGCTAGGGACGGGAGCATGTTGATACGACCTTCCTAGCCGGAGATATGGCCGCATTTTACAATAAACTTCCGTTGGGTCGCTTAAAAACCAATATCGCAAATCGAATCGATATATTTGTCAGAAAAATCGCAATTAGATTCTTTCCCAAAATCGTGCAGTCCTACTTGAAGGCATTTCAATGAAACACAAGTGACATTGAAGAGCTGATTTTATTGGATGATATTCATTCATGTGACGGATGCATGTGTATCGGTGTGTATACAACACAAGTTGTCACTGTGACAAGGTTTTGACCATTAACATTATTCAATGTTAATATTATAGCCTGCTTGATACCGAGTAAAATATATATATTTGAAATGTACTTGGTGGTACAGAGTTATTTGTATTATTAACTTTAACGCATGTTTAACGGTCTAGTTTTTAAATGCATACTGAGCAGGACACTTTACAAATCAGCTATGTGATGCATCATTACTTGTTCTAAATGAACACAAACAGTATTTGGGTTATTCCTGTATTGCAATAACTTGTTCTTTATCCTCCAAACATAAAATACCAATGTAAATTGATCATGAGTTATTCCTTAAAGAAGTTGGCTACTTGTATGACACACTTGATGTTTTTTTATCTATTTTTTTAAATCTGCGATGCTAAGGGCGGCCGAAACCTGAAACTTTGGCTTTTTGGAATGACGATACATGACATCGAATGTTAAAAACAGCACATTGGACCTTGAGAAACTAGGATGGATTTGGTTTTTACTATTTTCTAACTTATAATAGACCAAGCGATTAATTTCTGAATCTAAAAAATAATGGGCACTTCAATTGATGATGAAAGGGATCTGCAACCCCTTCTTCAGCTATAAAATAATCTGCTTATTAATACCAATCAACTTGAAAGTGTTCTGGTCAGGAAAATGTTATCCCTGAATATCTGAATCAGCCACATAATGCTAATAAACTTTATACATGTTTAATTATTTCTAAGATTAGGAAGCCGTGGGATTCTAATTCTTTCTTTTGTTTGTTCAGCTGACAACCCTCATCGATTGAATCTCTTCTACGTTGCAAACGATGTGATACAGAACTGCAAGAGAAAGAATGCTATCGTGTTTCGTGCGTCCTTTGCAGAGGTCCTTCCCAACGCTGCTCAGTTCATCAGGTGAGTACAGTTTTTATTCAGCTGTAGTATTGGACCAACATAACTCAAATGTCTGAAGCTACAAGTAAGAAATGCTAAATCTTCTCGTGTTTAAAAGAAATCGTCTTGTGTTTCTGTTTTGCATTATTTTCAGAGATCCGAAGGTCCGCAACTCAGTGGAGAGGATTTTTGGGATTTGGGAGGAGAGGAGCGTGTATCCCAAGGAGGTCATTGCCGGGTTTAAGGCTGGCATAAACAAAAAGGAAAAGGAGAGAGAGAAGCAGAAGGAAAAAGAGAAAGAAAGGAAGAAGGAAAAGGAGAAGCAGAAAGAAAAGGAGAAAGAAAAAGAGACGCCCCCGGCAACTGGTCAGTAGTGGTCATGTTATAAAATCAAAAGTTTAATAACTTCCTAAAGTTTAACATTTTGAACAGTTGCAATTATGGTTGTTTGTTAATACGTTTTTGACCTTTTTATTCTGTAGCCCCAGCCAACACCAAAGCTGCCCTGAAGTCCAAGATCTTAGCGGAGTTCACCGTGAGTCTTGTTCCTTAGTGTTGTCCTGCATTACTTTGTCTTTCATGTTGTGTTTAACCGCCTAAAACATTTGAATTACTGTCAATCATTTCTTTGCATTCTTTCTTTTCCAGCCCCAGTCCCTCATCGATCAGTTGTCGAAATATAAGCAGGTGGTTGCAGAAGAGGAGCTCAGGGAGAACCAGCTGACAGCTCTCAGGGTGGATGTCTGCAGCACAGAGGCTCTCAAGAGACTGAAAGGTCAGAGGTCACTGGGCCCATTTCTGCATCATCACACACTCATTGTCCTTTGTACTGTATGTATTAGACCACATACAGACTTGTCACTTGATGTGTCCTCTTCAGGTCAAGTGCAGGATTGAACACAACCCAGTAGAGGTGTAGCAGTGAGAATATTTCTTCCATAGAAAGTAGATTCATTTAAAACAGGTCTGTGGAGTGTCCTGAGGGAGCAGGATATTTGCTGCTGGGATATATTATATTCTGATGTGTTGAGCACCAGCACTGGCCACGTAACTATTGCAGTTTATTTAATAAATGTGTCAACAGAATAGGGCTGTACCCGAATATTCGAATATTCGTTCGTTGGCCAACTGTTCGGGTTTCAATTTCATTATTCGGATATTCGTTTTTTTTTTTTTTCCTCCAAATCTTTTTTTTCTAAATGTATGCTATTAATAAAGGCGGATTTCCATATTCTTATACTATATTTATACTTTTGAATTGCACTGTTAAAATCTGGAAATATATATATACAATCTCAGCCTGTGCTCCTGACATCGCGTTCACTCAGTCACAAACGCAAACGGCATGCTTCACCTCGTTTGACCCACAAAATGCCGAAGACTTCAGCTGTGTGGGACCATTTTAAATTGGACGACGGTAAGAAGAATATGTGCCAAATATGCGATAAGAAACTGGCCTACCACGGTGGCACAACAACTCTGAAAAGTCACCTGGATGCTGTAAGTAGTAGCTTAGCTTAGCTTAGCTGTTGTCAAGTTGCCATGATGAAGCTGCTTTATCCGCCGTTTAAACAGTAACGTTACACATGATAAAAACATGCACTTACTTTGCTTGGAAAATAGTTGCAAGCAAGCAACCAAATTGTTTATATTAGTTTTTTAATTTTATCCGAATAGTGAAAATAATAGGAGTAACGTGGGAACATCTGGGGCTAAGGCAATTATTGGCATAAAGTGGAGTAGCTCAGCCTAATAATAACTTGTGTCCATAGGTGCGTCCCCACGACCAGCCATCAACATCCTCAACAATACAGCAGACCCTACAGTTACCCTACAGAGGACACATTTAGTTTTAATGTTTGCGAGTACTGAGACAATAAGTAAATCTAAATCGTAATAGTATGCTCTTTCTGCGCTTCTGCTTAACAGCGTGTTGTCAGGTGTCTCGGATTCGGAGCGTGTTATGAAACCTTTTTGAAAAAAAAATATTTTTGAAAAAAATATTTTTTTGAAAAATGTTTTTATAAAAAGAAAATACAAATCTCTCCGCACCGAATATTCG